ACGTCGATCTCGTGGATATCGGGACCACCCTTACAGTCGTCCTCCTCGCATCGTAAAGTTTCAAGCGATTCGGAATGAAGCATTGATAAAGGGGGCATCTTCGAGGGCACTTTCGCATCGCCTTAATAAATCATGGTATCACAATTCTCCGTCGACTCGCCCCCGAATTTCACCCCATCCCCCTTCCGTTCCTGCCGTAACGTGGTGCAACAGCCGGAGACAGGGCTGAGGGGGGTGGTGGAGGCGGCGGAGGGAGAGAGAGGGCGCTACGCGGGCCGAGGGGGGTGCGAGAGAGAGGGAGAGCGAACAGAGGGATGGAATCGATAAACCAAGATGGCGGCGCACAGTGCCGCAGAGTACCGCAGCCAAGCTACGCCACGAGATTATCCCCCGCCGGTTATAGTTATGCACGGCCCGTAATCGCGGATACGCCGTCATTACCCCCCTCCCGCCCGGGGGGTGGCGGTGGGTGGGTGGGTGGTTCGACGTCTGACCGTGCGTCGACTCGTGCCACTGCACCCGTGCGGCCATTGCCCGTAATTAATGCGCAACTCTGCGCTATTAAACGCACCCCCCCCCCCCCCCCCCAGTACCGTCGAAATCAACCCCCTGGAGGTACTCTCCCTTAATCTATTTCTCTATAGAAAATTTATAAAAAAAGGACGTGAGGTTATCTGCAGGTAACAGTTGATACCCATTTCCTAAAATTCAATTTCTAGAATGGCAAGACACCTATAGCGAATTTACCAAGGGGTGGTTTGAGGTAATGGGTGCGCCGAAAAAAAAAAAAGAAAAAGAAACACTTCGTTAATTTCGAAGAATTATCGGACCGGGATAAAAGTCCAATAAAGTGGACGCGCCGTTTCCGCGGAATTATCACGGCTTATTCGCTGAATTACAGGTAATGCTTTCCGGTAGTGGTCAAAGAAACGTCCCATTAGTTCAATGAATTTTTTCTCTCAGGGCGGCGGGGGAGGTCGGGGCCAGTCGAGGGTGGCTGACCCTTGCAAAAGGGGTAAATCGGGACCGCTCTTCTCGGGGGCACCGGATCGCGAGTGAATGACGGAAAGCGTCCTTCCCGACCAGGGTGGATCCCCGGACCGCCCACGAGGGGCTGTTTACGCGGAGATCAGAGACCGCCACCCCCGACTGTGTCGCCGTTCCGCCGGACATTTCCCCCCCTCTCCCCCAACCACCCACCCCTTTGTTCGCCCGGTCGATCCTCCACCCTTTGGAGTGCTCGGAGGGGGCCCCACCCCCCGCGGACAAGGACGTCCTATCGATTCGTTTCACCTCCGAATTTCCCAAGATCGAACCCCTTAAGGGATGAGCCAAATCCACCCCCCTTTCTAACGGGGCCGAAGATCCCTCCGGTATAAACCCACGAAAGAAGGGTCGTACTCCACTTTAAATCCACTTCCTCGGAGGCCTATGCAGGGTGGAGGTAAACCTCCCCCTGAACCGCGAAAACAAACTTCCCTAGGACCCGCCCCACATCCCCGTGAAAGAGCCATAAAAATTCCACGGTTAAGGGAGAAGCATGTCAATCGAAATATCGACCCCGCGGAATGCCTCGGAAATATTTCGGATTATTTCCATTAGGGGTTGATGAAAATCGCGATTCGTTTTAAGAACTCAAAAATCGTTGATTGAAAAAAAAAACACTTAATGTGTAAACAGTGCATTTACCATTGTAAAAAAAAAAAAACAGCTGATCGAGATCGACGATTTTAATCAAGTGATTTAAATCATCTCAGCCCTGATTTTTTTCTGGTTTCGCGAGGAGGGGTTGCGTCTTCCTCCACCCCGATAAAAAAAAAAATCATACGCAAAATTCCGCAATTAAGAAAAATCGAGATATGAAGTTACAGGACAATTAATAAATATTTAGGAATATTTCGGCAAGTTCAAGGATATCAAGAGGGGTTGCTTTAAATCCAGTTGGACCACCGGGACACTTCAACCCCCGGTTTTCGGTTCTAGTATCGAGTTTCCCATTTCGCGGGGTGGCAGGGGGTGCGTTATGGGGTCGGCACCCCTTTCCTTATCACCCGGGCGTTTCTCGAGTCCTTATCCTCGTCACGTCTCGGTGTCTTCGAGTTTCCGTCCTGTTCGAGGGAGGTTGGGGGTGGATCGAGCAGGTGTAAAAGGGTGGGAGGAAAGAATGTTTCGGGTCTCCGAAGTGCAGGCCGAGTGCCGGTATTACGTTTCGAAGATTCCTCCCGAGATCGGGCTAGAGCCCATAAAGCTCACCCCCAGCCACCCCTTGAATCAGCCAACCCCATGTCGTGTAAACGCGACCCGAGGATATCTGCACCCTCCGCAAGATTTCCACATCCCCTTTCGAGCGTTCCATACGTCCTAAACAAATGATTCCCCGGCCCTTGACATTTTTTACACATACCCCCCTTCTTCCCCATGCCCTCCCCCTGGGAAAAAAAACATTCCGCGAGCCAAAAAAATATTATCTTCATTAGAAGAATAATTATTTCACAGGAATAAATTCGATGCAACGTTTCTTAGGAACCACGACAATTTATACGAGTTTGAGTTAAATAATTAATTCTCTGAACCGACGAAACATTTCCTTGGTTCAATGAATTGTTTTCTTTCTCGGTGTAATAAAGAAAGTCATAGGATATAAAAAAAATCACGCCATCGGAAGATGTAATGCGAAATTGGCGTGCAAAGCGTCGAAGCAAACATGGCCGAAAATCGGCATCCCCGTAAAAAAGTCAACCCATAAGAGGACCATGCTGAGTCGTGCAATAATTCTATTATACGGCGCACCATAGACCCCTTACGCAGAGCAAGCAGAAAACAGGTCGCACCCCTTCGCTCGCGGGGGGTAGTTTTCCAGACGAGACCCGGAAGAATCTGAAGAACACGTCGCAGCCAAATTTCATTCCTTTCCTTCACCAAGGATTTTTCATTCCCCCAAAGAAACCCTGATTTCGACCAACCCCTGATACCGACTTACCCCAATCCTTTAAACGAGGTGTCTATCAGAATATTCAAAATAATTATTAAAAAATCTTAATTTTAAGTGCAATCATTTTTTTTCTTGCTTTTAAATCGCTATTCGATTTTTCCAAACGAATCAGGCTTTCCATCCACCCCGGAGAGAATCTCCCGAAATCTCCCCCACGGCGGGTCCCCACCCCCCAGTCTCTATCTCGCGTTTCTCAAGGAAGACTCGAGAGATCAGATAATATTCAAAATAATTAAAAAAAAAAATCTTAACTTTAACTGCAATCATTTTTTTTCTTGCTTTTAAATCGCTATTCGATTTTTCCAAACAAATCAGGCTTTCCATCCACCCCGGAGAGAATCTCCCGAAATCTCCCCCATGGTAGGTCCCCATCCCCCAGTCTCTATCTCGCGTTCCTCAAGGAAGACTCGAGAGATACGCGGCCGAAAGGGTTGAAAGCCGAGCATCGAGTAGCAGGTCCTCTAGACATCGATCGGCGTCGATTCTCCTTAGGTTGCAGAATTACTCGAGGGTGGGCAAAGAGGGTGGCGCGACTCCGTCCGGTCCGTCTCGGGTCTGCAGGGACATCGTGGGGTCCCGGGAGCGAACAACCCCCGGGGGGTGGTGGACCTCCTCCCCTCCCGGACCGGAGGACCGCGTCGTCCGGATTTCGGCGGCCACTTCCGTCCAGAGGACGAGCAAGCGAAAATCGCCGGGCGACACGCGAAGGTCGCCCTCGGCCCCAAAAATCCATAACCACCCCCCACCCCCCGCCGGGTTTTCCCAGCGCCGAGCCCGTCGGCGCATGCGCGGGAGAACCCGACAGGGAGCCGAAGAAAGGAGACCTTAATGGCCTGCTCTCGTTAGGGCAGCCTCCTCGGCTCTCCGACCTCCCTTCTTTTAATAATTCGCAAATTCCCCGGGGGGTAGTATTCCACGTCGGGGAAAGGGGGCTGTCGCCCCCGGGCGCGAGATCGCGACTAGGACCTTCTCCCCAAAACGCGATTTCTCCCCCAGGAAAAATGGCCACCCTTAAAAAATTAAACCTCCCTCTATATAAACCCCCCATGGAGTGAAAGAAAAGCTCGTATGTTAATTAAAATAATAATGTCGAGTTCTTCGTTACGTTCAAGATCATTAAAACCGCCGCAGATTATTAATTTCGATACCTTGGGACATATTCACAGCGATCGATTTAATCCCCCCCCCCAATTTGAGTAGCGTCGAATTTCCCGATTGTGTCAAGACCTCGGGAACTCGAGAGAGACTTCCGGGTGCTTTACTTCCCTGCTTAAGTTCCAATAACTCCCCCGAAAAGTCGGGACCCCCCGGCGAGGCTTCAACTTTTCGAGGGTTTTTCGGGTCGCGAACTCGCAGGTATTATTCGAAAATAAAGGTAAACCCGGTCGAAAAGTACCGTGGAAAAAGTTTCGCCTCGAGAACTCCGGCCAGAATGCCGGAAATGCAGGTCAGCCCCTCCCCCCGGTGGGGGGTGGAAGTGGAACCGTGAGCAGGTGGAGCACCCTCTTGGCCGCACATCCACCTGTTCAGTGGCGGATAATTCCCTTTCAATTACCGGGCCACTCGGCACTGTCGTTAACAAATCCACCCCCTACACGGCTCGACTAGTCGCGCTCAAGCAAAATTCGAAAAGGGGGAGAGAGAAAAAGGAAAATATAAAAAAAGGGGGGATTCTCCCCGGGCCCGACGAGTGGCTCGCTAATTGTAAAGTTCGCCGAACGCGGGCCTATTGGCCGTTGCACTACCCGGGCGGTAATTAATTAGGGGTGGTCGGGCACCGAAGTGGCCGGCCCAGCCAGCCAGAAAAGGGAAACAAAAGGAGTCCAATTAACCCGCTCGAATATATCCCGGGGGGTTGTTTTCCTTTTGCGCGGCGCCCTGGTATTTTCCGACCACCTGGGGGTGGCGGGCGAAAACGTCCCCCGGGTGGAATCGCCAAAACTTCCAGCGGCTGACGATCACCCGAGGATCGATGCGTGACGAGAATGGGAAATGTGAATAAACTTACCCTTAGTGAGAGGGGAGGGAAGGACTCACCCGCTCAGGGCTCCGCGAAGGACTCCATATCCCCCTTTCGCCGCAATCCCTGCAACAAAAGTCGGACAAACGATGTAATTAACGGCCCTCTCTGCCGGAGGAGGAGGTTCGAATAATTGCGCCAACTGCGATCATCCCCTTAAGGCGGGTCGAGGGGTTGAGGGTCGCGGGCCGCGTTAGTCCTTGAAATTCTAAATACATTTGACAAGGAGCACAAGGTTGGTGGAGACCGCGAGGGGTGGAGGGAGTCATGCCGATCCTTACAATTCGAGATAAATTTCGAGACATGTACCGCGAGGGGTGGCGCGGTTTACGAGGGGGTGGGAATGGCAAGGGGTGGCGAAGATCGCAATTTATTCAAGTACTTGCGATTTCGGCCGCGAAAAAAAAAAATATTCACAGTCAAATCAAAATATTTCTCTTGCTTCAACAAATGTGAATACGTGAAAATGAACCAGGGAAATTATTATGCAATAACATATTTGTTATATTACATGTTATGTTACACCTACGTTCGGTGTCATTGCAAATATTTCAGCGGTTGTTGCAATTACGGGGGAGGAGGAAAACATTATCGGCAATGTTCTCCTTCGTTAGAAGAGTGTTTCTTTTTTTCCGCGTTGATAAATCCGACGACGAGGAACACACGGGGGGGTTGAAATCCCAGGGGATGACGAGGGATGACGAGAGTCGCGGAGGGATAAAAATTCAACATGCGACGACAAGGATGACGAGTGAAATCCCGACTCGCCCCGTCGCTTCCAAGGGTTGCTCCAACCCCCCGGAAACCACGTCATCCTTTCCACCCCGTTACATACATTTATTTAACCGAGCCATAAGAGCCAATTACGAGTCACGGAGGAGACAAAGTGCGGAGGAAAGGCGAATGAATAAAACAAACGGCCGAGTCGATATTTACGTGGCGCACCTCCGGGGGTGAATCGAGAATTCCTGGAGTCTGGGATCGAATCTCGCCGAGATTCCCCAGCCCTCTTCGGGGTGCAAGCGCAGGGGTTGTTCCGCCCTGGCGGAGGGTGCCCCGGAGTGCTTCGAGAGTCCTCCGGATCGACGTGGGACCGATGGACCCCTTGGTCGCGTCTCGTCGCCTAATTGAAAGAGACGTCGCCCCGGCCACCCCCTTGGCCCTCTCGAGGGGTGGTGGGTGGCGCGCCAAAACATTTCCGATCCCACCCTCCGAGACGCGCACGCGACACGGGGTGCGCCATGGAATATGTACCCTCGAGGCCTCACCTTGCATTAAGGACTATTAATTCAATTAAAATAGGGGGTTGTTCCAGCTCTGGATACGAATTCTCCCAGGGTAACACCCTTCCTGCCAAGCTTAAGGTGTTACGAAAGGATCATTCGATATATACCAAAACGTCAAAATATTTATAAAACTTTTATCCAAACGGGGTGCACCCAATCATTTTAACCCCAGCATGGTAAACGCTTTTCGTAGCATCTTAGGTATCCTTAAGCTCCCTCCACCCCGAGGGATGCACTTTGACGATCGACCTCCCTATCTCTCCGTCTTCCACCCCCGCATGCGGAATCCCAATGACCGGCGACAAGGGTGTGCACTTCCGCGTAACAACCGCGAGCGGAACTTCGACCTAACGCCAACCTTCTCGGGAGATCTTCCCACTTCGTCCCCCCCTCGAAGGGGTGCTTTCTCGACCTGGCACCCCCGGATTACCCCGAAGTAATCCTGTATCGCGACGACGCTGATCGGCTTATCAAACTAATATGCCACATCGTGAGCTCTTATCAGCGATAATGCCCGCCGAAGGGGTGAACCAGCCAATTTGAAAATTCACCCCTCATCAACCCCTTCGTTCCCATTACCCCGGAAGGCACGATCGAGAAAGCAGTCCCGATTCCTGCGGAAAAAGGAAATTCCGCAACGGGAGTAATCTCACCCCATTGGGTGCTCCCCTTTCGACCGCAGGGTAACTGCGAATCCCTTTGTCCTCTCACCCTGTCAATTGGCGCAATCTGCCAGCGTGCGACAAAATGACAATCCGGGGGTCGTTCTCCAATTTGGCGGGGAGGGGTCAGGAGGGGTTGCGTACACGGCACGCCAATTATTTGGATTGCCGCGTATCGAGTACTCCGACCACCCTACACGCACCCCCCGACACTCCATTTCCGAACGTCGCTCTACGCTGTCGTAATTAAAAAAAAAATGTATATATAAAAATCAAGAGCAATGGATAAGGTAAAAAAAATTCGAAGCATTTCCCTCAGAAAATACAAAAACACTGGAAATGAATCCGGGAAAAAAACGTCAAGAATGTTAAGGGGGAAAAAAAAAAATCTTAAATCTTGGATTTTTTTTGGTAGGCTGGAATTATGGTACACCCCATAGAATCTATTTTATTTAAGCTAAGTGGAGTGTATCCGACGGCAGAAAAAAAAATTGAAAATGGGAGGGTTGGATTATATATATATATAAAAAACCGGAAGAAGGGTCGACCGAATGGACTTTGCTTAAATATGCATGTCACTTCCCTGCTTCGTTTCCACCCCTTTGCGGACGGACAGACGGATGAATAACAAAACCGCACTCCGAGTGAAGTTCCTCCCCCGAAAGTAATCGATAATTTCACGGGGAAACATTTTTCCCACCCCTCTCCACCGTCTGGAAAGGGCGGTTCTTTAATTCGCTCTTTAATTTCTGACACCGATCCCGGCCTGGCTTGACATTCATTATTTTAACGGATTAACAGTGCCAAGTCTTGCCGAGAAGTCGAGCCACTTTTTATTACTCTACCTCCTTAACCTAATATTGTTTTTTAATTAATCCCTCGATCGCATTAACGCATTAAGTGGAAAAGCGCGGCTGGCCATTCTTCGACCTTTACCACTAGCAGTAGAATAAATTTCGGTTGCACTATCGAAATCGGGTATTGCGATAAAATTATGAGGAGATTAAAAATCCAAGTATCACTTTCGCACGCCGAATTACGAAGCAGAAAACAAGAGGTGATAAACATTTAATTAATAAACATCCTTGCGATTAACATCCCTTATTTTACTTTTCCCTGGCTGCAAATCCGAGACATCCTTCCAAGTTTAATTTCTCGAAATCTGGAGAGGCCCCTTTCGCGTCTCCGGGATTCGCCATGAATAAATGACGTCAGCGCAACGCGAAACGGAATCGTAAAAATGGAAATACCTCCGGAGGAAAGTGGGAGAGAGAAAAAAAGAAGATACGAGCAGAAAGAAAGAAAGAAAAAAAGAAGAAGACATTCCCAGAGGAGTCGGCGACGTCTCGATGCGAAATTTATCTGGTAATTCGAGAGATTCTCAAGTAAAAAAAAAAAAATTAAATTATCCTCGACGTCACAAGACGCGAATCTAGAATGTCGAATTTCACGAAGGTTTTTAAAAAGGGGAGGTGAACCGTGAAGGGGGATAGAACGTCACCCGAAGTAATCCGCAATCCCTCCTCCCTTAAATTTAACAAATCGAAACCCGAGCCGACCCCCCCCCACCCCCCAAGAAGGGGGGGATTCGGTGCCAAAGGCGGAAATCAGCACGAAGTCACCCCCGATGAGGGAGAAGGGGGCGAGGGGTACCACCCCCCGGGGTCCTCCCGTCTGCATCTTCCCCTCTTCGTCTTGGACGTCGGCGTCTCCACCCCCTGGACAGGAAATTAACTGAAGCTCCTTCCGGAACCCCCCCTGGTCCCCCTTTCACCCCCACGAAGACAGTTTCATGTTTCGTCGACCTCCCCCATGGGCGACCCTAACCTCGTTTCCACCGGCCGCAATTAGTTTGCCATTAAACGGCCGATAACGAGCTGATAACGGGCCGATAATGACCGCATAACGACTGCATAACGAAAAATCGCGTTCGGGGTCGTCGGCCTCGCCGGGTGGGCCGATACAGATTTGCCGTTAAACGGCCGATAACGGGCTGATAACGGCCCGTTGACAGCTGCACAATGGAGTATTAATTCGGCGTTAAACGGCCGTTAAAATGGCTGCGTAACGAAAAATTGGTGTTCGAGGTCGTTGATCCCGGCGAGTCGGCGTTAATTAATTCCCCGTTAAACGGCCGGATAACGAAAAACGGCGATCCCGTCGTGAGATCGAGAAACACCGCAAACAAGTGGAGAGCAAGAAGTAACGGCCGGAAGTCGTGTCCCGCCTCGGCGTGGCGTTAATTTTGGAAACGGCGGAAACTCGAGGGGAGGTACAATGGCACTCGGCCCGATTCCTCGTTGTCGGCGGCGTTAACCTTTCGACGGTCGCGCGCCGTTAACGTCTCGTCCGGCCGTCAGGTGTTAACGGGGGAATAAAACCCTCGACGTCGGCCCTCTCGTTTTATCGGCCGTCGTTTTATCTCCGTCGTGGATACTCCGCCTAACGAGCCGTCGTTCCTCGGTTCCTTCTACGCGCCGTTAAGCGAATTTCCCCGTTATCGTTATATACCGGTAAAACCGAGGAATAAAAGGAATCCCGAAGGCGAGAAGACCCGAGTCTTTCCGGCAATTTCCACCCCCTCTTAGGGGTGGTCTCGCACACGCGAGATCTCGTGCCAGTCCCAAATCGACGTAATATCTGGAGGGATGAGCTCGCGTCCAAACTCGAATCTCGAAACGATATCGAAGATCGATCGAACGCGTCTCCACCCTAGGGGGTTGGAAATACACTTGCACCCCATCTACCCCTCTTTGCACCTCCCATGAATCCCAATTTCCTCCGGTTAATCATAAATCGGCATCGACCTTAGGTTTGCAAAAACGCGATAGATCGATTTCAACTCCAAAGAAAAAATATGTAAATTAAAATCCGTTTCTTTTTATTCTTCCGATTTTTTTTTTTATTTCGGTATTTTCAGGCCGCGTATGAAAATTATCCCTTCGAGCCTTAAAAAATCCCCGTTTAGGGGGGAAGAAATAAGGGTGCGCCGTTTATTTCCGACGTAAAAAGGACAGATATCCTTCGTAAACGGAGGAGTCGTCGTCGATATCTGACCACGGCGATCTGAAATTGAACCGTCTGCCTCGATTGGCCGTTATCACCAGATTCGCTTTTG